GGGGTGGGGGGGAAGGACACACATGTAATACCTTAATCAATAAAAAAAAATTAATTTAATCTAAAATTTCCCCCCCACAAGTACATAAATGAGAATTGGCTTGAGACTTGGAGATGAATTTGACTTGTGATGACCTTAAACACTAGAGAATTAATGACAACCCCTCTAGTATTCTCTCATGATTAAAGAGCCACAACAAAAACCCTAAACCAAACATTCGGAGAGGATATCTTGCTTTTCCCCAAACATGGGTAATGTGAAAATACAAAGTATTTCCATCCAGCACAAACATGAGAGGAAAACTCAACAAAACAAAAAGGAAATGAAGAGGCAACTGGTTACAGGTATATTTCAAACTAAAACATAAATAAAGGGGTCAAGACACACACCAACACACACACACACAGAGACATACACACACACATGAATAAAGTATTCAGAAAAACATTAGCTCCCAGTTTTTTTTATTAAGATAACAATATGAAACTGGTTCAGGGACAAATTTTGAGCACTCAGACTGAAATTCTAAGGACTAGAATTGCTACATAATGGTCATCTATGGAAATTTGTCATAATGAAATAAAAGCAAATGTAAGAAGAATTATCTTCTCTCCCAAAAGTTCCAAGCATAACAAATTGTGTTTTTAGAAATGTTTGTTTTATATTACACAGATCAATTTTATATTGACTATGGCCTGAAATTAAAGTGATAGCTAATTTAGCAGTCAAGCACTCGGTCCTGCCACGCTCTGCATGCATTGTCAAGTTTCACACTGCTAATTTTCCAATGAGCAGTTTTGTTTTCAAATGCCCCAAGGCCAATTACTGAGCCCAAACATAAACTTTTTAAGTAAAGAAACTCCAAGCAGCAAGAAAGTTTAAACACACATCATCGGATTCTAATGTTCACTGTAGTTCCTCTAGTTTTAGAATCTATTCTCTTATATACTTACCAGTTTTTATAATACTGTTTTCATTTTGATGAGTCACAGTGTTCAGGAGAATACCCAATTTATTAATCATAGAAGATTGCTCATATCCACTCTGGTCAGTCTAGCAGGATATGTTTATCTTACATGTTATTAACAATATAACTATTTCTTTAAAAAGAGTCCTTTTCAAAATACTTATAAACATATGTTTTGTTAGAATACAATATATGTTTGATAATTATGTTTATATAGGGTAGCAGCAAACTTGATAAATACTAATTTGAAAGTGAAAATACCTTAAGTTTACACATGCCATGAACAATTCATCAATGTCATTCATTGTTTTGCAAAGTATTATCTTCTCCAAATGAAGCGTAATTTATAAACTGAAGAAATTTAACAGTCGTGTTATTGGCAAATATATTTATTCACTTTTATTAGAAGGGGGACTTTAACAGTTGTGTGAAATAATTTTGTCTGGAAGAATAAAAGATTTCAGGGTAGCATTTCTTTGGGAAAAAGCAAGTTTACTTTTGTTTTAGAAGTTGTAATATGTATGCATACAGAACTAGCAGAGAGATGAGTGGCCTAATTAGGGTCACTGTAAATGCCTATTATAAAAGTAACTACAAAGAAATCATACCTTACTTGGGAAGAGATCAACTTTTTTGTTATTTGGTTTTAGGTGGTAAATTAGGCACAAATCTCAGCTCTCCTTGTCAATGAAGATTTTGTTAGTCAGTGGTAAACTGTTCAAAATGAAAGGTGATAGAAGCATCTCTTTACATTGGAAAACATGTAATACAATGAAATCTGAAAGGTAATTCCTTTTTCTTCTTTTGTATTAAATTTTAAATAATTTATGATGAGATTTACAGATTTCTTTCTGGGAGATGTTATAATGATCCATCTTTTAGAGCAAGTACATCATAGTCTAAATGTATGTTAGCTATCTACCAAGATATCCCTTTGCCATCTCATTAAAGTGAAATTAAGTTAGGTAAATCCCACACTGTGCTACATTTAAAAAAAAACTGTTAAATGAGCCTTTTTTAGTTAACTTAATAAATCAAATCAAATGTAACTGAAAGTATTTAGGTCAGGAATACACGATTATGTATTGTCGCTTTTAAATGAGAAGGTAATTTAGAGCTACTTTAAAGTTTGTTAATTAAATGTGAGTCACCAATCTTCATTCTGAGAAGCTGTTAGATTTAAATATATTAGAAACCTGCTCCTTCAACTCTGTTTAAGACTATTAAAATAAAACAGACAAAAAATCATAGCTATACCCTAAATAACTTTATATGTATCACTGGTTGCTATGACAGTTTACATGAAAACCATCACATATAATATGGTAAGTGCCCATAATCAGAGAAAACCACATAAAACATTAATCCCCAAAAGATGAGCACATAGTCCTTTCTAATAAATACTGTACATGGTATACTCAAATGTACTCCTGAATTTTGAACCTTTGTTTTTAACTAGTATACAAACCTATAGATAAAATACAGAATCTTTTTTTCAGATTTACTTATAAGGCTAAAACATGTAAATTGTATAGTTACCCTCTATATATGCATTGACCCTGAGATATTTCCTCTTTTCTAGCTCAAATAAAAGCAACATAAGTTATTTTACACTACAATCTAAAGTTTATAAAGAATAACACGGGAAATTATACTTGACTGGATGCGATCCTGCCCAAAATAATACAGAGTCAAATATTTGTTTAAAAAACTTCTCATTGTTTCATTTAGTGCATTTCTATATCACCTGATGGAAAGGCTTTTTGAGAGATTATAATATATTGCAAGCTAATTGTAAGCAAACAGTACACTTTATCATCAAATTTAAAGCTGTAAAAGTCATAATTTTTTCCAGTATTTCCTAATTGGATTTACTCCTAATTATTATCTATTTGATAAAGTACTTAACTTTAATAGGGGAATTTGGTTTTTCAGTAGTCTTGTAAATAAGCACAAAGTAAATTAATCTTTATTATTTTTAAAGAAAATTACAAAATCTATAGCTTTGATTTGTATTTAACTATTTCACAACTGGCCCAAATCTTAAACTTGTCACTCACCACTCCCCCTCCTCACCCTCCCAAGCCCAGTTTAAGTTTCCTATTATTTGGTGATTGTTTACAAACAACACTGAAGCCTCTTCATGAACTTTTTATGCTAAGCATTTGCTTAGAAATCTCATTTATATCAAGGGTTGGAAATGAGTCTTGGGTTAACCAGTGAAGACAAACCCTTAAGTGTGGGTCTAGGGTGGGAAAATCCCAGGGAGGTTCCTGTGGGAGTTGAGGAAGTTGGGAAGACTTGACTTGAGAAATCTCACCTTCTGAGCTGCTTTGGAGGGACTCTTGTTTTTGCTGCCTTTGGGTCTTCCCCTGGGTCTCTTAGGAGAGGGCTCACCAGTTGGCTCCTAATTGTGGAGAGAAAAAACAAACACGTTGTTGTGGCAAGGATGTCTGCAAGAAACTGACCCTGACTCTAGAGTTACATTTTCTGCATGTGCTGCTCCACTGAACTGTTGGGACACATTCAGTTCAAGCATAAATAGGAATGATGGCTCAGAGTTTTCAGAAAGGGGCAATAACGATCTTTTTAATCCAAGGGCTCAAAGAGGAAATGGTTATTTTACATATGAAAACTAGATTCTATTCCAACCCTACCAAGGTAACAAAGGATGACAAGTTTGCATGTTCTAGAAAGAAAGTCATACATTAAGGTGAAAAAGTTGCATGGTTATGCATTTGGCAACTCAGCCATAAGCATTTTACACAAATACTACTAGCCATTGCACTAGCATTTCAAACAGAAATACGAAGCTAACATCATAAATATTTCAGCAATCTTCCCTACTGAAAGATGGTTTTTAATCATCTCTATATATCTGCATTGTAGTCAACACATTGAGTGAAATATTGGAGCAATTATCCAAGTTCTTCAACTCAAAACAACTCCATTCCCCCTTAAAATTCCCAAATAATTATGTTAAATCTGTTGTGGGAGGTTTTGCTTGAATTATCTAGATAATTGCTTCAATTCTCCACTTCCTTTTGGAGATTCGGGCATGGTCTCTAGTCTAAATTTAAATATCTTTTGATAAAAAGGAACAAACTCCCCAAAACTTTCTTTTGAGAAAACTGCTATGGGGGTGAACTGGAGAAAAATAAAGGGGGTGGGGGATAAGGAGGAATGGAAGTGTCTGGGAAGGAGAAATTGAAATTATCAATAGGTTTAGCAAAACTTTAAATGGCTTCTATGCCAAGTGGTAAATACTCAAGTGGTTAAGAGAATGTGATGATTAATATTCCAGTTCCTAAATATTTATCCAGTGAATCATCAAATTACATTTCATTCAGATTCGGTGATTAAATGAGACTAATTAACTTAAAACTCATGAAAGTCTCCAATGAAAATTCGCATCCTACTGAGAGAACCTGGGGAAGGTTACTCACAGCTTCCGTGGGACCACTAGCGCCAGTGGGCACATCCGGAGCAAACACATCGGAGACACATTTTCCTTTCTTTGTGAACTCAGCCTCAACTCAAAGGTAAAACCTCCAATCACCTCCAGACCCCACTGCAATTTCTTTTCCATTATTTTTTGGAGGCGGGAGGCAATTACAAGAGCTAGAGAGAGCTGGGT